CCACACCCCACACTCACACACCCACACCCATGATGGATTCTGTTGTAATAATAAGTCCATTCGAACATGAACCACAAACATTGTCCTGAAGAGAGATAAAAATCAATGAATTCACTATTCAAAAACTTGGTATTTTCAGATATCAACGTTTCTTTCAGCACATAAATATACAGAACTGTAAATCGAGCGGCGCACTAGTGTTTTTTTTCAAAAAACAACAAATTTACTTTTAATTCTATTTGATTGAGAGACAGATATTCTTCTTTGCGTGATTTGATTCGCTCCATCGTTTTGACTCACATCAAATGATTGTATTTTGCATTATATCGAATCTCTTGTTAGCTTATTTTTCATTTCATATTCATCGATTGCTTCATTAATACGTTGCAGAATAAATTGAGTGAGCATGCGACGTTGATCGTTATTCGTACGCTTAAAATAACGCTCTAATACTATTGGTATGAATGGACTGATGAGCAATTTGAAGATTAAAAAGAGAAGACCAAATAATTCGAGACATAACACTGAATATAGAAAATGAACAAATTATATGATTTATCTATTTTGTTTTTCTAAGAATAAATGAACTCACTCGAAAATAGAACAGTTTGAAATGCGATTTCATTGGGTCTTGCGATAGGTTCTTGACTATTTTCTAAGTAAAATTCTGATTCAGTTAGATCGACAACAAGTACGATTTGATTTGATAAATAGCGTTGATATTTTCCTCTTTGTTCGAATAGAAGAGCATCCGCTAGAGTATTCATGGTAAGAGTAGGAAGCCAACGTCCCGTGAATATAGATTCATCGTTTTTTGACAAAGGTGCTGTCCGGTTGATAACTTTTGTCATTTTAGCATTGACAATCGAATTTACCGTAAGAGTTTCATTGGTAGTGAAAAAGAATCGACAAAAATTGAGCATTTGAATAGTATATTTTCCGTTGCTTTGACTAGTTGATGGACCATTGAAACAGATGCGAAGACCACCGACAAATGATGATCCTGTAAGACTGAATTGAACCACGATCAGATGTTGAGGAAGAAGTGTTGATACTGAGACAATATTACTCTCATTATCCGTTGTGCAGTTGAAATCAGAAGATAGAGTCTGTTGTCCTTTATCCATATTTCGTTGCATAGTGACATGTTCACATTGAAATTCTGTACTGACAAATTGCGTTGTAAGAACAATTTGTTGTTCATCGAGTAATTGAAAAATTGGCTCTTCCTCATCATGTTTATGGATGGACAGAAGTTGAAGCGCACTTGTAAATTTTGCATTGATTAAATTCGGATCGCATATCACAGACGAATGTGTACTTGCTGAGATTATCTCAATCGGATAAAGATTCGAAAATGATATACTAAATTTGCACGTGAATCCAATCAAAATGATGAGTACTACTGAAACAAGTCCACCAAGCCAGAGTTCACCGTGCCCAATGAGATCAATACGCGTGAAGATCTTTTGTACGAACGTACGATGAGGTTTTCGTTTAGGATAAAATGCCAAAATGCCCATGATAATGACGACAATGAAACTGAAACCGATCGCCAATGTTGCCCAAAATAATGGTGAAATAAATAAACAGTGACTAGATAAAGTACCAAATTTAAATACATTCTGTAGGAGAACATCATCGAATTCTTTTGTTTCAGGTGAATCCGGATAGGGATTGGCTTGATTAAAACTCGACAATTTGTTCCATTCAACTTCCATCTTCGTTCCACGTAAACAAAGTAGAGACTCATTGCTTGAACATACTTCACAATTCATTCCTGAACTTCCGTTATTTTTTGTTTTAGGAGGACAAATAAAACACGGGCCAAAACTAGTTGTATTGCTTGCCGTACCGATTGGACACGGTAGTGAAATATAATTGCCTGCATAGAGAAGATGATCACCGATTTGAGATGAACAATAACCAGGAGAACTCGCTGGTAGCAACAGAAAACCACCAGCTTCGACGACAAGTCCAACATTCATGTCGTAAGAAACAAGAGTCAATATGCCGTATGGTGGTTGAATTAGATTCATGGTTGGAATCGTCTGCTGATTGTTCGGAAAGACGAAAAGTGGTTGATTACTTTCATCGTAAACTGAATAGATCTAATATTAAGAGAAAAAAAAGAAAATTCAATGCATGACCTCATGCAGTTTGATAACTCTCAAAAATTATCATCAAGAATTCATAAAAGCGATGGATTAATAGACTTAAAAAGAATTGGTTTTAAATAGAAATCAGGACGTGAAAGGATCAATAGATGGGAGATTTTTCTTACATCTGTAGCTTGATGTTGGCATAATGAATGAATCTCGATCTATATTTCAAAAATTCAGTTAAGATAGAAACATACGTCTAAAGATTTCTGCTGATTAGATGAGCTGGTGCTGCTGCCGATATTTCTTGAGAAAGAATCCAGTCGCTAAGCGCATATACCTTGCTAATTTTCACTGATATTAGTTTCTTCATTTATTCGGATGGCTTTTGTAAGGAGCTAGGAGTTTTTTGGACTAGTATCATACGTTTCTGTTTCTTTGGAGCATTTTAAACCCATCACAGATACTCTGTGTTCAGTTTTCTTAACAAAGTTTGAAAAAATTCAGTCGTAAAAAAGCATTTTTCTGAAAATAGCCATCGTCAATGAACTCGTCGACCTACATCTCCACATGTGACATGTATCAGCTTTCAATAAATTAAACTCCTACGAGATCAGAAAGAAAGCAAAAAATTGTAGTACTGTTGTACTCGAAATCAGACTCATGAGTAATTTATTAAAAAAGGAAGCCATATGGATAGTTTTGCGAACTCTTGATAACACATAAAATCGAGAAAATGCCAACATTTTGAGATGAAATGTTTTCCATCATTTTTGAAAGCTTAACAGAAAAAATTTTTCTTTCGGAAAATATTGAGTAAAATGTCAACGCATAAAGAAAATTCAATTCTGAAAACTACAGCAGTTATTAACATATTATCGAGGTTATTTTGGATAAACGTCACTAATCACACTATCCAAAGATATGTTGTAATCTCATTTTGTTTATTCAAATGGAAAATTCAGATCTGTAAAAGAGACCTAGCAATCTATTATTTTTCTTTGATAGACAAAGAATACTCAGATCTAGTTCATTGTAAAAGAATGAATTAATTAATGCTTTTTATATGAGCCGAAGTTATCACACATCACAACTCGACATTATCTGATCATGTGTGAAAATATTCGAACATAGTGGAGATCTCAGAATGACTTACTTGTACTTGTGATGTAGACCATGGTAGAGTTGACTGACCATGGGCAAGAACAGCGTAGGTATGATCATGAAAGAAAGCAACCGATTTTCCGAATCCAACACCTTTATTCACCGATTCATGCCGCTTGATTATAACCGGTGAATGTGTTCGATTGAATGATAAGAGTAAAATTATATCTACATGAGGTATGCCAATAATAATAATTTTTTCTTCTTCGTCAAAATATGCATGTATAGACATGGCGGAAAAACGTGTAATACGTTGTGCTGCAGTGCCAAAATTGAAAGCTGACAATTCATTGACTGAGATAAGTCGAACACGATTATGATCGAGATCGGAGTAGTCGAGTACATGTAAATAGGCTAAATATTGAAAATTGTAATGTCGTTGACCGACAAGATACAATCGATGATCTTCACTAACAAACATTGCTTTAGAGAATACATGTATTTCATCCAAACCTAACGGTGGTGGTCCAATTAGACCAAGACCGAAAACATCATTTTTGTGATAGATTCGATCAACTTTTGTTTTGATATCAATGATAACAGTGTGATGGAATCCAACGGCATAGACGCGAGTTCCATTTGGATCCATGGCAATTATTACTTGTTCTGAGAAAGCAAGGTCCGTGACATTAAAATCGAAATGATCTGCGTAATAAACACAAATAGATGGTGATAGAGCTATGTAGAAATAAACAATTGTTAAAAATACATTTCTGAATTGATCTTCATCGATGAATGCAAAATAAAAATTTGTTTCATTTTTTTCTTGTTTCGAACCAATCGCTACTGAATAGATATAATCGGCAAAAGAATTTATGCCATGTTGCACAGCAATATAACGCGGAGCACATCGACATGAATGATTCGTAAACGGATCAACGACAATTTGAAAGTGTCTTATATCATTTTGTGCAAGAATGATTAATTGCTCGTTCATTGTAATCAAAGAACCATAGGCATCGTAATTTGCTAGATTAATAGGTGGTGGAATCCAATCAGCAGCGAGAAAGCGAGACAAAACGGCAATCCAATATAGGATGAACTTGTACATTGCTCGTTCATAGTTCATGATGAAATATGAAAATGAGCGTGAGACTTTCAGAAAAAAAGATATTGTTAGGGCATCTGCTAATCATGTATTTGCTTCTAGAGAGAACTTGATTCATTATTAGCTTTGATATTTATTAAAAGTACCTTTTGGAACTAATAGAATACACAGACGAATATGGTTCATATTTACTTTCTTTTTTAGATGTCATAGAGTAGTGACATGTTACTTGAAATAATACAAAAATCTCATAATAAATTACCCTTGAATCTTTATCAGCTGCTATATTAGCTGTACGTCAATTTTCCGAACAGAATGTGCATGTTGACTAATATTGTACAGTATTTATTTTTTATGACAGATACGTCAATAATATTGTGCAAAATAAGTAAACTTGATTTCACATTGATTCGATCACTAACTGTCTAATAGCGCGATAATGCATAAGAGAAAGGATCAAATCATGAGACAGATTTGTTTGGTATTTTAAATGTAACACAAATAAAGAAGTGGGTCTCGTTGAGTATGCAAATGAACTGCATTAATACTGAACAGTTTGGTAAATGAAATGGATGTTATAATCAAAATCGACTTTTATTATGATGTTTGCAGTTCCGAAATGAGTCTGAGCTTTGTTTGAAGGATGTGGGTGTGTATATAAGAAAATAAAGGGCCTACATCCTCAAGAAAAAAAGAAAAACACACAATGCGTTATTCAAGCAGAATAAAAAAAGACAATCACAGTATTATAATAACCATTTGTTATAATATAACGGGTGCGGCAGAATAAATGGCGGTCTCAATATTTTGACTATGGCTTTTTTTCTTTGTGTTCTTTAGAGCTGATTGTTTTTCCAAAAGAT